AAATCAGCTTTTTAAATCCCATCGAGCCGCAGAAATCGGCGACCCATATCTTTTTTGCTTCGACGCTTTACAATATGACCTTTTCCCTCGCTATTTTTATTAAATTTTTCTTTTATCCCTCGAGCAACAACATGTTTTTCTGCAAAGATAAGATTGAAATTGTTTTTGTAGATACCGCACAAATTTCCAAACAGAATGCAGGTTATTTTCGCATTACACGATATCAAGTAAGAAAAACTCTAGTTAGAGCTATAAAAAAAATCTTGAGCGTTTCTCACACAAAGTAAAACAAAATGTAGAAATATTTTTCGCTCCGAGTGAAAAAGCGGAACAAAGCTTGAATTTTCGATTGCTCTGCACTTTTTTATACTCTTTTGAGGTGAGCGTAACCGAAGCAAGACGTTGGTTGCTTTACGGTGAAGGATAATCAAATAACATACTCCGAGAACTTATACTTTTTCATTCAATTATTTAGACAATTTACTCTTTTCTATATCGGCATTACAGGATCCATTGTCAAGAAACTTGCGAGAAGCTTTAATCAAGAGTGTTGGTCCCGTTAAACTCAATATTGGAATTGCTTAAGCTAGGGTCCGTCAATCAAGGTAATTATCGGAGGTGATCCGCTCAGCCTTTAGAAGTTCGTCGAGCGTATATCTCTTTCGGAAGCTGACTTAGAGTTTAAGTTCGAGGCAGAGGCTTCTGTCTTCTATTCACAATATCCCGATCGACTTTCAAAGTTCGGATGTCTGTTGTTTTTAGGAAGAATTTTCCAAAGTATAATCAATAGATCATTTCAAATTGGCGCGTGTGTCAGGTGAACAAAAAAACAACACCGTCCGATCGTGGTCGAGCTTTATCACGAGCTTTTTGCTTTCTCATTAGTAGCAAAAAGTTCAACATCTGTCGGATATCGTACCATGTACAAGCAATCGCATTAATATTCTCCGGGGCTACAGGTGTTATCGGTTTGGACATGTCAATTGAAATTCAAGCCTTTTACACACTACCTGTGAAAGTTTGCTGTGGCGGTCACTTATAAATTGATTGTACACCGAAGTAGCTCTGGAGCTGCACTCAGTCAACTCGTCCAAAAAAACAAAAAAGGTAAACATCTAGTTCGTGAATGTTTTTGTTATTGATGCGTGAGCATCCGTTTCCATTTCAAGAAAGAAAAAAAAATAACAAACATACTAACAGGAAATACAATCTCGAATATATGAATGGAATTTTTGTTTTACTTCAGTAATGAGATTCGCGTTGTTTCGAATGAGCTGAAATCTATACGATACAGTTATTTAACTCGATATAACTGATTGAAATTAATACGACTAATTTCACATTGATTTTTATAGTCCAAAACACTTGGGGAGCAATCGTTCCAACAAAAATGACATCTGTTTGTTTGACCAAAGTTGTACGTTCAAAGACGTATGAAGTACTATGTCAGAGCTAGTCATTTAATTTTTTCGTTCAATGAAAGTTAGTTGACTGCACAACAGTTAGGCACATTTTTTTTATCGATTCAATGAACTTGAACAAACCAATCTGACATCGGCGCAATGCGCAAAAACATCGTAAAAACATCTAGGACTATAGACGAAACACAATTGGACATTAAATACGATTGTGTTGACGAAGCTTAGCGAGCGCGCGCAAAAATCGTAACACAACTCGGCGTGTCTCGTCGAGAGTAATTTTCCATCCGGTAGATACTGAATATAATAAATAAAAATATAATACAGTCATGAGTTTTGGTACACGAAATCGAAGTGCTATTACGAACGTATAGAGCTGTAGCTACAGCAGCAGTGCAAACGAACGAACACAAACGGCGTCTGATGCGGAGTCGCGCGCAAAGTTCAACGACTGCGAGAACAACGACAAATACTACTACGAGACAAATGCGAATATATGTGTGTATACACGAATGCGCTCGCGCACTCTGCGGCACGTACATAGCGTATATATATATATATCTATAGCATAAAGCAGCATTGCTCATCGCCAATCATGTGTGGTGCGTTGCGCTTCTCTGCGCACGCGAATCGAAATACATATAATACGAGATCGTCGGGTTGCTGCTGCGTAGGATATATAATATATAATATATATAAAAAGCAAAGCAGAGTTCGCGCGAGCGCGTGGAGGAGAGGCGTATAATACACGTACACTGTACGCACACACGCGACCAAATATTAGACCTTGAGAGCCGAGAGAGACGGAGCAGACTTATACTATATATCCGAGAGAAAGAATGAGAGAAATACCACGGACCGAGCAGCAGCAGCAGCAGCAGCCTGTGTGCTTAAACACTGTGTGTGCCGCCACCCATGCCGCTGCCGCTGCTCCGCTCGCAGTTTATATACACATTTCGAGGCTGCTTCGCGTATTTCTGTTATACATAGCATAAAACTCGGAAATGAATCGAGCAGCGGAGAGCGAGCTTCGAACCTCTATAGTTGATTTCCAGCCGAGCGCGATTCATTTTTTTTTATCTAAAAATGAGGAGATATCGTACCGAAGAATTCGCCCACTCTCGAATTTTTTAAAAAGCACATGGTAGCGTAATATTACGAAGCCGTCATTCGTACGATACGGAGCAGTAGCAAAAGTAGCAACAGCAATATACAGCCTAAAAGTTTTTGCAGATTGTGTATATTACACGGTACACACCACTGGTATAATAACGTGTATGTAAAGGCGGTGTCGACGACGACCACGGCGCTCGGCGCTTTCAGCTATTTCCACAACGTGGAGCCTATTTATAATCTTCCGCCACTTTTGCGTTTTATACTTTGGAGAAATTCCCATCGCGACAAAGAACATATATACCGGAGCGCAATCGGGCAATTAATTATTGTAGAGTCGAGTGGATGGGCATTCGAGTTTCTCGAGTGTATAAGGTATCTGTCACGTGTGACAATTCGTTCGACACACAACTCGGCGCCCTTACAGGTGTCAAAGAGAGCCACCGGACAAAGGGCAGACCCGCAGAAAATGTAATTTCATTATGATCGCGGAGATTGTTGTAAACAGAACGTTGATTCAGGTTTATTCGAGCATAGTGCGTATTTTGCACGTATTTTAATGCGCGTAAATTATTCATGTTTACCGACCTATATGTTCATGAAAAAAAATGTTGAATTGTAAACATGCAAGTATTTTCTTTCGTACATTAATTTAGTATAATTTTCATATTTATATTTCTTGTTTTTTATTCATATTAGAGGGCAAGCGAGTTAGGTCACGCTCGCTTAAATTGCGAGCAAAATTTGTGTGGACATAGACAAGTCCAATCTTTAATATGACCGCGACGACGTTTAGGAAAAACCAATCGACTGTTTCGACAAATTTGCTAATTCTGTGATATTAAAATATGCACGTTATAATGGGGAGGCTTAACCCAGTTCTCTGACGAAGTACGCGCGTCCAAAGTTTCAATTATATCGTTTGGCATTGTGTATCGGAAATTTTAGCAGGCAATAATAATAATCATCGACTCTCGTTATATTATTGTCGCAGTTATCTCGGTCTGGGTGATTGCAAGTACATGACGGCGGCTTTGCTTAGGTAATGCGCGCGCGCTAAGTTAAACTAAGCTACGCTACGTTGCTGCTGCAGCTGCAGAAGCGGCGTAGTGTGTTTTGTCGACGAGAGACTCGTACGTGCCCGCGAGCCTCTTAAAAAAGCCACACACGACTAAATAATAAAACTGCACTGCGCGCGCGTTACAACTAAGCAGCAACAGCAGCAGCAGCAGCAGTGTAGCGTGCACTAATCGCGTCAGCTCGAAATTGTACGTAAGAGTATAAGCAGCAACGGTAGAGCCATGAGAAATATTGAGCGATAAACGTTCGCACACGTACGTCTTCGCTTTTTAAACGCTTCAATGCACCTCGTGTTGTTATGTCATTTGGCAAATGTCCGATTACTTCTTTTTTTTTCTTTTTTTTTTTCTTTATCGGGTTATACATTATATACACAACACGATATCTATAGGCGTACGAGTGAGTAGGCATTACCCGCCTCGACGAAAAAGCATCCGACGTTGATATTTGCACTTCTCCATATAGCAGCAAAATATACGTCATTCCTCTAGAATTATCGAGTTCGACAACAAAGGGAGAAGGGGGCAATTTAGGACAACAGAAAATAATGATACGCTGTTCTGACGCATCGAGCTTCCGAGCTTTGAAAATTTTACGGATGCAATTGCACTGCACACACACCTCCTCCTCTATTCATTTGTTGGGGGGCTAAACTCATAAAAGCTCAAGAATCATTTTCTTAATTGCAACGCGAGAGAGCAGTTAGCAGCAAAACGAAGAGAGCACACGCGAGGTGGTAATCGAACATCGCTTTGTTTCGGAGCTCTTTTATAACCTTGAGGGAAAAATATCATTGCGAATTGCGTTTTCCGAAAAAGCAGCCATGAACCTCGGCGGCACGAAGCACGTTTTGCAGCGGCGCAGGCGTATGCGTCTGGGGAATTTGTAGGGTCGAAAAATAACGTCCTTGAGGGAACTTTTACAACGAATTTTGCACTGAATTTTTCAGTTTAACAAAATAAAAAAGGAACGAAGCATTGTATGCGCAAAATAGCGACTGAAAATTGTATTAGCGAACTGCAGCGGGCTTTTGTACAGCTTTTTCTATACAAAGTACAAATAAGCTTTGACTTGGGATACACAAGCCATTTCACACACGCCTCGCCGCTAACCCTTTCGACGAGGCCACACGACTCGACAAAACCTCGACAATTTATTACATTATCTCGCACAAAAGCTCGCTCGGTAAGCGAAATATTGGATGCACCAATTACAGGACATGAGCCAATTCGAGTATGCAACATTCGGAGCAGCCGAGTTCGAAAAGGTAAATACGTTGAGCAAAACAAAACAAAAAAATTCGAGCCCGTGCAAACAGACGCACGGTCAGTTATTCGACAAGTAAAATTTCGCGCAGATTGAAGGGCGATGTGTGATATATAGACTCACCTAAAAAATTGTTGCGCGATCGGGCGAGGAACGGACGCTGCTGCAATGCAGTCGAAGAAAGACGAAGTTTTATTGAGGCAAGAAGCGGTGGTTGTTGTCAATGCAAGACACCGGCATTTGCAGTGAGCCAAAGAGGGACGCGTTGCAGTTTTTATTTTGTCTCTGTTGCAATATATACTTTGTATATATTATTTCGGCCCTATAACAACGGCAACGGTGCACTGCACTCACACATTAAATAACATAATACACACACACTTTACATGTATAGCCCCAAATGGCAGATCACTCGTTGTTATTATATTCTGAAAACTGGAGTAGCAGCAATTATTGCAGTTGCAGTTTCTCTCACTTATATAGATGCTGCTCTCGAGAGGTTAACGGCTCGCCGTAGAGATGAGGATCGCACACAATTCCGCAACCTTGACTGCGTAAGAGCCGCGGCGGAGAGCAGCGAAGAAAACAAAGGATTGTAAGAGAGGCGCGAGTGTGCACCTTCTCGCTTTTATATATAATATTATATATATATGTGTAGCAGCAGTGAGCGCGCGAACAATCGATGATGGCGAATATCTCTGCTGCTGATGTTGCCTATATAGTGGACGACGCCAAGGTGTATACACAACTAGCACTGACGCACACTTTATTACTTTAATACGATTGCACACATACACGTATATTATATATAAACAAATTATTTATATATAAACTTTTTCATATAGAATAATCAACACACCAGTGGATGCAGTGGCTACGATGTATTGTAGTAGTAGCGAGAAACGACGTCAACGAGCAAATTATTAAAGCACATAAATTTCTCGTGTTTTTTTCTCTCGCTCTTTCTCACTCGACGCACACACAGTAGCAGATAGTCGCATTAACGCGCGAACGAAAAACAGCAGCTGCGGAGCTTTGATCGCTGCCTTATTTTTTTTTTTTTTAACTGACTCTTGGTCGACGACGATCTTCATCAACGATAAACAACAACATCGCACTCGCGCACGGGTACACACACCACCTGAAGCTCGGGCGATCACTCGTTATAATAATGGCGAATTCAAGCACGCACACACCTCCGCACACTCCGTGTAACAAAAGCCGCAAGTTTGATCGGCCCACGGGGAAACTTCTGGATTCGCGAAACTTTTTAAAGTGCGTGTTGGCAGGTGGATCGCTGTCGTTGTTGTTGTTGTTGTTGCTGATGATGCTCTGCTCCGATCAATGTCCTCTGTCTATGTGTACGTGTGTGCGAACAATAATGAGCATATACAAGGTATATGGCTGTGCTTTGTTTATGTACGGGTGTGTGTGTTTGTGTTTGCGCGCGCGGGTATGTATGCTACTACGTACTCAGTTTTCGTTCTGTTTTCTTTCTTATATATTTTTTTTCTATATATAAGGAAGGATATAAGCTCGTGTACGATGATGATAATGACGATGATGTCCTCGTTCGTGTGGCGCGCGGCGTGTCTGGTCACGACTGCTGTCGCAAGTCGACTGATATATTCTGCCGAGCGCCGGGCCCTCACGCTCAACGCTCTGCTGTGCTACTCACCGTCGCACACAATACACCAATCCACTGCCACAGCAGCAGCGTACATACACATACGAATTCGCGCACTCTCTCTCCTTCTCCGTCTCTCGTTCTCTCCTTTCCAGTGGCGCGCGGTTGCAACTTGGCGCGATCCGAGCTCTGCCTCTGCTGCTGCTCTCTCCCTCTCGTTCACTCTCACGCGCGCGCACACATTCGTACATGTGCACATGCACATCGGCAGCAGCAGTAACACGCGCCAACTGCCAAGTCGCGCGTCTGCGTGTATACGCAGTATCCGCGGTGTTTATTATGCGCGTGCATGTGTATTTTTCGCATAAACTGAGCTGCTGCTGCTACCGCTTGCTGTTGGAGTGTGCTGCTGCTGCCCTTATATATGTGTATATTTTGCCGCGTTGATATTTTAGCGAGAAAGAGAAAGAGAGGTTAGGTTTGCGAAATGCACCGGTGCCTTTCTGCTATCATGGAATTATATTACTCGTCGATTTTTACAAACAAATATTTGCTTACCTCTAGAAAGCTAACCTACCTACACTTGTGTAATTATATTAGCTCAGTTGAAATTCTAACCTTATATTAAAACATTAGTTCGAAATCTTTTGTATATAAACCAATCGGACAGTTTTTCAGCCACTTGCGCGAATTGACTATACTCCATCTGTTGATGAAATTGAGAAGCTTTGATTATAGTAAATAAAGGGTTATCTGGCGGTCACCCATCCACCTACATATCGCGACTTAAAATGCTTTAATTCGTGCATTGCTCCGAGTCGTGAGTACCGCGGCCTACCCCCTGCTTCAGTCAAATAATTATTAATTATGTGTTATTTATAAATCAATTCGATTTACTATAAAAACATCAAAAAAGTGAAAAAACTACTAAAAAAAATAATTTTTTTTTTTTTTGAAATTCAGTTACAGCCAATCACGAATAAAAATTCGTTATATTGTTGGTAATAAATGTTCGAATCTCCTCTCGCTGACTTGTACGGGAATCGAGGAGGGAGCAAAAAAAGCGGCAAAAATTTGTCGGGATGCGAACGAGAGTATCGGAAGTGTAGAAAGTATATAACACGAAGTTATTCGACAAGTTGACGATTTCGGAGTCGGCCTTTTGGGATCAATCGGAGAGTAAAAAAACGATTAGAAAAAATATATTCATCGACTGGAAACAATGGGTGGAGGGGCCATACAATGATTTTTGGAGTAGATCGTCGAGCCGCGTCATACAATCTTCACAGTCTCGAATAATCATACAAAACCCACGCAGGTTAGCGATTCGAATATTGCCCTATTGATTTTGCGCGTTAAACGTTCTAAACCATCTTATAATCAGTGTAATGTACATCGGAGGCAGCGGCGTTGCATTATACACGCGCGGCTATCCTCTATATAGCTATAGTACAACGACACAAAGGCGCGCGAGCGAACTGCATCCTTCCCTTCGTGGTCGTCGTGTATGCATGTGTTGGTATACTTGTGTGTGTGCGAGTCTCGATGCAGTTCTGTGTTGCGCCTGCACACACAGTTCTTTCTTTGTGCAGTATATAACACGGCCGGCGCGCAACGACGCCGAGCGCAGCAGCGTCGTATAGTATATATATCTACCTACGTGCGCTGTAGCAGCAGAGTTGCCAGAGCTGCGCACACAACTCTTGCTTTGTACACGACTCCGATCGTGTATATACTATATAATGTGTATATAAGCGCGCCAAGCGCTCAGCCGAGAGAGAGAAAGAAAGAAAGGAAGAGAGAAAGAAAGAGAACGAGACAGGACGAGCGGATTAACGGGGGTTCCTCGTCGTCTCCGCATCGTGCACGAGGCGCAGCGCCGAGCGAGCGCATTCCCTCTTTCGCGCTCCTTTGCTCCTTCGCCTTCTTCTTCTTCTTCTTCTTCTTCTTCTTTGTGTCGTCCTTGATGATTGTGTATACTTAGAAACGCTTCTTGCCTCGCTGCACACTCGCACGATGATTCTTCCGATAAAGAAAAACACCCGCGCATCCCCGATTTTGTTCCTGTTTTTTTTCTCTCTTTATAAGTGTAAACTCGGCTTGTGGTGGCACGAATCATAAGCCGATACTCATAATTGCATAAGACGACGTATAATAACAGCCCCACTCGCTGCGACAGAATATTTTTCCACGCTGCATTAAATAATGCCCTTTGTTTTAAGATGTTTAAAAAATGTTGGTAGAATTTTAGAAAAAGTCTCTGGTTAAAAATTGTTTTCTTTTGCCATGGCTTTATCATCCTTTCAATAATAATCGCAACCTCTGTCTTAATTCACGATAATTTAATTGTTCACATGTTTCCGGACATTATGTATTTAAAGCCGCTGCCAATAAGTTGAAGAGTTTCCACCTGAATATGTGTTGTTTCAATATTTTTATGAATAAATACTAATAAAAGAAGACCACTGTACCATTTCAAAATGATCAATTTCTAGTGCAAAAATATTTCAGACCTTTTTTCTCAGACCCATTATAAGCTCTGCGAACGTTTTATTGTAAAAGGCTGAATCGAATTTAATTAAAAATTATTAAACTTTGACTTTTATGGCCCAAAATTTGAACAATTTTAGTAAAAAATTTTATTCCTTGAGTCATTCAAGAATAAGTTGAGAATTTTTCAAATCTATTATCTATTCGCAAGTAACTGCAATGAAATTTAACGAATCAAATGTATTTCCATTGACAAAAATGAAATTGTTAATTGGTTTTAACACTTTACAAATGTAATTTTTGAAAATCATATGTATTTTTTAAATTATCGATGTAATTGCCTTACACATTTTACTATCATTTGACACTCTAATAACTAATTGGACTTCGTTCCTACTGCCCTTTGTGTAATACCATGTACTGCATTGGTGCGGGTTCAAAGAAATATTTTTCATTTATTCACTACAATTTCGGTGTAGTTTTAATCATGTGTGAGCGCCTCTATTTGTATCGCAGTTCATTACTGCGTACGACCAGTCGACGTTGGAAAGGGAAATATTCTAAGGAGCAATCACAATCGCGAGGTCGCCTCGCTAATATTGAGTAGTGCGTTCAGTCGCTGATGAGGAATTTCTTAGTAAGCAAGTGTTTACAAATTAGTGGTATCGAAGTACAGTGTTTGCTATTCGATGCGTTTAACCTCAAATATTTCCTCAACGTTCGAATATTTTCTCAAAAGTCACATTGAATAGCGAACAATGGAAATCAATGGTGACGTAGTTAGGTACAACTTTTATTTTGCAAGCCATGATGTTTTTGTGAGCGATCGTTTCATCAAATTTGATGTTTCTTAAGGTTGAAGCAAGAGATGGATGATACTTGGCTAAGTGCAGGTGAAGATTATATTTTCAATTCAGTTAACTCAGGCGGAGACCAAAATTTTGAAAAATTCAGCTTCTATAAATCTTCGGTGAGTTCAATGATTCGAATCATGTTCTGTTTTTCTATCATCAAAAACCATTAATCAATTTTAATTTTAGACTAATCATATAAATGAGACTATGGCGTTACCTGAAAAGTTAGATAAAAAAATATCCATAGAATTTGAGTATAAAGATGTTAAACTTGAATTGCCGTCTCTATCGACAACTATCTGCAAAACTGAGTATCAAAGTTATCCATCTATTGTGAAAATAGAAAACCAAATTCAAAACAGTGCCATAAGTGAACCTTTAATTATTAAAACCAAGTGTCATAGTTGTTTACCAATTGTGAAAATAGAAAACAACGTTCAAACAAATTATCTGTATGAAAAAAGGCTCTTAAATTTAATAGAAAAAAATTTCGATTACGATAAAAACAATCAATTTCAAGAAAAATCTCGAATAAAGGTGAACAGACCAAAGAAAGTAGAAATATGCATGAAAAAAACACAAAACAAATTATCTCATAAGTGTAATTTGTGTCGAAAAATTTATGAAGGAGAAGCGAGTATAAAAACACATATTAATACGACACATGAAAGCACTGGACAATATGAATGTGACATTTGTCACAAATCATGTTCATTCCAGGGTAACCTCATTGAGAACATGAATACAGTACATGATCGAAGCAAGCCCTTTAAGTGTGACCTTTGTTACAAATCATTTAGACAGAAAGGTACCCTCAAATCTCACATAGATGCAGTACATAATCAGAACAAACCCATCGAGTGTGAGATTTGTCACAAATCATTTGGACACCAGTATGAACTCAAAAGGCACATAAATACAGTACATGATCGAATTAAACTTTTTGAATGTGCGATTTGTCACAAATCATTTGGAGAATCAAGTGTTCTCGGACGTCACATAAATGCAGTACATAATCGGAGCAAAGCTTTTGAATGTGGGATTTGTTACAAATCATTTTCATACAAAAGTAACCCAAAATCTCATATCAATACAGTACATAATCAGAACAAACCCTTCGAATGCGATATTTGTCGCAAATCATTTGGATACAAGAATGACCTCAATAAGCACATAAATACAGTACATAATCGGAGCAAGCCTTTTGAATGTGAGATTTGTCACAAATCATTTGGTCGCAAGAATACTGTAAAAGATCACATAGATAAAATACATAATTTGATTAAACCCTTTGAATGTGAAATTTGTCACAGATCATTTGGTCGCAATAGTGACCTCAAATCTCACATAAATGCAGTACATGATCGGATCAAACCTTTCGAATGTGGGATTTGTTACAAATCATTTGGACAAAATAGTAACCTGAAACGTCACATAAATGCAGTACATAATCTTCTTAAACCTTAAATAGATGTGAGATTTATCACAAATTATATGGTCGCAAGAATCACCTCAAATCTTACATAAATGCAGTACATGATCGTAGCAAATTTTAGGAGCATGTGATTCGTTGAAGACATTTGAACACGGTGGACTTCTACAAGCATATGAGTACGCTATTGTAATTTCTCATAAACATTTTTCTATTTTTTTAGGAACAATAAATTTTTTTAAACTGTTATTCACTTTTTCATGACTGCCACCTTATATAAACTAAAGTTGTAGCACAGTTTTTTCTTGAAGTCTTTCTTTCCGTTATTGTTTGTAAACCGATCTTCAACATTCCAATTATCAGTTGAACATTTTCTAAATTATCCTAATCCCTATCAGTGTACATAGATAACTTATAGAATCCTTGCCTTGAAGCAAGAATCATTGCTTAGCTTCGCATATCAACTCTCGTAACTTATGCCAGTGTATGCAAAGATTGAGTGGCATCAACGGTCGATTAAAAAGCTCTTAAAGTAGTGATAATTTATAGTTGCAAAGCACAAACGTGTACCTAATGATCAAAATACATGATTCCGCAATGTCCATGTGAGAAACAAACGAAAGATATGAGTACGCTGCAAATTTTTCATTTTCTAATTAAAAAAAATCTTAATTTTTTATATAATCTATGATAAATGCAAAAAAGCTTTTTTGAATTTCACTTTTACCACAACATCATTGTGCAGCAAATGCAGTTTATTTGGATATGATTTTAAATATTGAACATTCTAAAATAATCTTTCGTACCCTGATTCATACCACATCATTTTTTCTACTCAGTCCTACAACGAGACTCGGTATACTTTTCTATTGTGCGCAATCAGTCTCGGTGCACTAACCACCCTCCAGCACATCCGATCGATTATTTTTATTAGAATTTCGCCTCGCGTGTGCATGATCGCCATATTAATCGCGAAAAAAAATACTCACAAACCGCTCGACCAAGACCCGCAGCGCAAATACAGCCGTGGCCCAGCCGACTCAAATCGAATGCAGCGAGGAGTAAAATGTCCCGCCACCCTTGGCGTGAATAATCGAAAAATCAACTTCCCATTGGGAAGCGCGGGCTTATATTATTATGTGCCACGCCGCAGCTATTGCGAGCTTCGGAAATAAGAGTCTTGAGAATACGCACCTTCATTGTTCCTCATCAGACAGATGCGCGCTATAGTGTCGATTTTTCATTTTGATCGATGAAAAAATTCCAAATCGTTTTTCATTACAACCTTGACTTGGGCTCGAATGGTTTTATGTTCTGTGCATTCAAACATTTTGCAGTTGATTTCTTTTTTATAAAAATTATTTTGAAACAAATGTACAATCAAGTCGAGCAATTTCAACTCTCGTCGGTAAAACTATATTTCGAAATGATTTGGTAAACGAACAGTTGAAAATCCGTAGACATTGACTTGCAAATGTGGTGTTGAATTTATTTACAACGAAGTTGCTCGGCAGTAACGTTGGATTATTGCTTTGGCAATTTTTATCCCTCGACAGCTCTGAATTTCGTATACAAGAAATTTCACCCAAGTAAACGCAATATTGTCTTCCCCCAAGTCGGCCCTTTCGTCAAGTTTATAATTGCTGTTCATTTTCGTTACGGGGGGCAGGCAAAAGTTTACGTCTCCGTCATAAGTTTGCAGTAGGTAATTTTACAGCTTATATACCTTATATATACCGCGGATAAGAACTAGAAGCAAAATGTCGCGCTGAGAGTACGATGAAAAAGTTGCCGTTTCTTATATAATATATACCTTATACATCCGAAGTTCTTGCGCTCGCGCGGGGCTATACGAGGGCTGGGGTTGACGTTTTACACAGCTGCTATATGGTGGAAGTCATTTGTAATTATATATATCTATACACCTTGACGTGCTTCGTGCCAGTCGAATAAGTACATAAAAACTAGACTCGAGCCACCGGCTTCTTTCATTCGTATAAAATACGCATAGGTCGAAATATTTTTCAGATCGATTTTGCAGCGCGTCAAGTAAGTTGAAAAAATATTTTTTTTCTCGCTCAAGTAAAAAATATGTTCAAAGCTCCGCGATAAGGCAGCACAGCGGCAGATTTGTGTGTCGGGCAGTGATAGAAACGTCGAGTCGAGTCGCGACAACGGAATAATCCGCGCGCAGATACGAAATTCAAAAGCCGAGCGAAAAAAATACACAGGCAGAGAATAGGCTTTCACTCGATAAGTCGCTAAAGCGGACGAGCCTCTCGGTGTATATCTGGCCTCGCGCGATGGGCTGCGCTTGCGGACGAGAGAGAACTGGGCTGGTGTATACACATCGCCGGAAAAGGCAGTCAAGATCCGCACACGCGGACAGAGAGAGAGGGAGAAAAAGCATCTCACCTTTTTGTACAGCTCAATGCTGCGGTCCAGATAAGTATTTAAGTCGGAAAGCGCATCGGAAAAGAGGGTTCTTTTTTGCGGCGGGTGGTGTTTTCTTCGTGAGCGCCGCCACTACCGCCGCACCGGGGATAAGCCGCGTAGTATCCGATTGTCGAAAGGAAAGCCACCGCCGCAGCAATAGCGGCAGCAAGCGAGTGCAGCTTGACGTAATCTTGCAGAATACGGTATATATAAAATGTACAAACGCGCGCAGTACATTCGCCTTTTTGCAGGTTCGTGAGCTGATCGTCGAGTCGTTCAGGCCGCGCCGCGCGCGCGCGAATTATTTTGCATATTGCGCTGCTCTCAGCTGCGAACATTATTACATAGGTATATAGGCCCGAGAAGTCTGTGACCAAAATTCCTCGAGGCTCGTGTTTAAACGACGAAAAGTAGCTGCCGAGAGAAAGAAGAGAAGAGGGAGCAGCTGCTTGCACTTATTTCGCCGATACTTGGCTACCTACTCCAACTGCCCTAATAGAGTGTACACCAGTTGGTCGAGGTGAAAAATAAAAAAAAACGGACTGTAAAAGAATTGCCCGCCGTCGTCGTCGTCCCCTTCGCTACACACATATATATACTCGCGCGCACAATAGGGTTCGCGCGTTCTCCTGTCCATGTGTGTTGCTGCTGATATATATAAGCCTGCGAAATGCGTATATGTGTAGCGTATACGAGTAAGTGAGAAAGAGAAAGAGAGCGTAAACTAATACGCACACACCGACACAACTGGCAATGCCCCGGCACATGTGATATATACGCCGCCGCTCACATGCAGCCACGATATGTATGTGTGTACGGCGCGTTACACCGACAACAGGCGGTTCTTTTAGTCTTTATGCCCGTCTCGCCAGTGTTGCCCGTCGTGCAGTGGTTCTCACTCTCTAGGCCTGCCTGCGCTGCACACGATTAACTTAACGTATACTAATGGATAGGGTATGGTACACAGTCGCGGGGATTGCATCCACGGCGCGACAAAATAATATAATCCGTTGATTGCGTCCGATATTCTCGATCGTCTGTCCGTTCTATGTACGCAGTACCGACAAAAGTGCCACCCCCCACACGCAAACTTTTATTTGACACTCGAGCAGTTTGAAAATAATTGTAAGAGCTTTTACTAATTTTGAAGATATTTAAAGATCATTTCTTGGTTCAAATTAAATTATTTAATTATTTTCAAGTTAATTTATTCAGATAGAACATATTGTTAATACCGATCATGCCTCTCTTGGGATAAATAATCAGTCTCTCAACAAATTTATCAAAATCTTTTATAAGCTAATGTTCGATTAATTCAGAGCTCATCGAGATCTACAGAACACAAGTTGCCAAAATATAGCACGGAGATTAGTAATTAGGTGTCCGCGAAATCTGAAAACACCTCAATGCTTTCGGTGTACAAAGGAGTAATGATTGTTGAACGCCCGAGATTTAGATAATACGCAATCATTTCGGCACAATTTTTATTAAAATTTTAGAAAAACCTATATGTAAGTGTATCTATACATATTTACAATTGTCAATCATCATTTCTTCTCGCATTTGTCGTATACATGATCTTTACAACCTTTATGAATGGTTTTTTGGTGTTTGAGCCAACTCACTTTATGTCTAAATTTTTTCTCGCCTTTCTCGCATGCAAAATTTTTCCGACTTTATGGACTGACCTTTGGTGGATGATCAAACTCGGTTTCTGTCAAAATTTCTTCTCGCATTTGTCTCATACGAAATCTTTCGACCTTCATGGATTATCCTTTGGTGTCGGAGCAAATGCGTTTTTTGTCCAAATTTCTTCTGGCATTTATCACATGCGAAATCTTTCCGATCTTCGTGTACTGTTTTTTGGTGTACCCTCAAACTGCTTTGAAATCCAAATTTTTTTCTACACTTGACGCATGCGTAATCTTTCTGACCTTCATGAACTAATTTTTGGTGCAACAGCAAATACGATTTCCGTCCAAATTTTTTCTGGC